ATATATGCAAAACCTAGCTTGGTCTGGCACAAGGCCATAGTAGTGCAGTGTTTAGAAAATCTAAATCGCTTGCTAATTGATATGCATAATGTACGAGAGTATATATTATAATTAAGTAATTCATCGAGTCTAGAAGAAACCTCAACAGAATGCAGAAAGCACTGGATGGCTGTTTTTTTTTGTCCTATATTTGGGTCTCATCAGCAGTGTGCATCCACTACCGAGAATTGAAACCTGGACAGTTACGTTATCCAACGGGCCTCGGTGACAAAGATGTAGCGAATCAGACTCGATATAGCGCTGTGGAACTCATCCGAGTTTCTCTTTTACCCATAGGACTGTGCCCCCACGAGCCACGACTACAATCTCAAAGCCGCTCCATCCAGAGAATTAGAAGCCGGTTCAAGCAAGGATATATAAGTGATAAAAATTAGGAGGAGAGTATATATATATAGCGTGAAGATTACGTTCAAGAATGAAACAAATTGTCACTATTTGGTAGTGACCTCAATATCTACTTTTATATTTACATGCGCTCTATCCCTGAGATACTGAGCACTCTTTACCTATAAATATAGCATACCTTAAAACTTTATTTCTATATTATATAGGCCATTTCTCATTGCTTTCTATTGTACAAAGCATATGCTGTTTTTACTTTTGTTATCTGTGTGTGATGAAAGCCCGCTTAAAATTACCAGCTGAATTAGGAATGATTAAAAAATGAAATAGCCTGATATTAATCTTAATAGCAAAAATATAATATTAAAATATCGTTATATGTCGAGCAATAGTCGTCGCCGTCATCGTTGAAGTAGTAATTTTAACAGTAGTCGAAGACGACGAAGATCCTGGTCTTGACATTTAAATTTTTTTTATTTATTTAAGTAACTTATCCACTAGTATGTCCCCATCACAATAATAATTTCTTTTCTTTTGAACTACAATTCGCAATTCTATTCCTGTCATATCTTGGCCTCAAATAGCTTTTTTTCTGTGTTATATGAAAATAAAAGACAAATTTAATCTCCAATCTAAGTCATTTTTCAATAAGTCCAAAAATGTATTTTCCAAGATTATAAACATTCCTTCATGCTTGTAAATGATGGCCTATAGTTAACTGTCATCACAAGAAAATAAAAAGTAGAGCAAACTTCAAATACACTTTTCAGATTTCGCTAACATTTCTTAACGGTGGGAACTTTGTATCAATCATATATTAGGTTGAGTCATAAATAATTTTCGTTTTTGGAAATCAATTGTAATGATACATGTATCATCCTAACTATTTTGGATCTTAGTTTTTTGCGCAGTAATGGCAATGTACGCAGTGGATCAATAGAAATATATTGTTCTTCGCTATAACAATATAAGGTCACATAGGTCAAAAATAAGATAGTAAACGATTTGTAAACTCGATTGATCTGCTCCCGGCTCGCCTTATTCACCTGACCTTGCACAAACCGATTATTCCCTTTTACGATCGCTGCAAAACGCTTTGACTGGGAAAACTGTCTTTAAAGAAAACCAGATCCAACAATTCGTTGAAAACTTTTTCGCATCAAAACCTTTGGGATTTTACTCAAAAGACATCGAAGAGCTGCCTGTTAAGTAGCAATAAGTCATTGCAAATAATGATGACTGTATAATTGAACAAAATGTAATAGTATTTTTTTGAAGGATAAATTTGATAAACAAAAATAAAAAATATGTATGACTTAACCAAATATCGTCCGGTTCACACTCCTCCCTGGTCTTTTCAACAGGTGTAAATGTTTTATCCCTTGTTTCCTGTTTAGGATTGTATTTCCGGTTCTTTCTAAAGTCTTTTCATTCTCTTTCAATTCCTGTGGCCCCTTGCGTCTTGGTGGCATTATCAACTTGCATAGGGTGGTGCCTCTTACACTGAAACCCTCTGCATCGAGTGGCTCTTAGGTCTTGTACAGTGTGAACAATATAGTAAAAAAAAAAAAAAAGCGAACAGTTTTATGCATGTTTTTTTGTTAGTAACTTCTGTCATACCAAAAGCAAATAAATATATAAAATAAACGAATAGTTCAAACGTCTGACCTGGTGCTAAGCAGGCAAGAGACATATTACATCATCGTAATGCTGTTTGAATTTTGAAGTTAAATTAATTTTCAAATACTGAAAACGCACAGATACTATACTGATCTTAGATAAAGAGACGCGAGGTAACGTTTTGATCTGGGACAGAGAGGATAGACGCTCCAATTCGACGCAGTAGTATCAGTCTATACGTAGACAATTCCGCTGTTTTTTATGGGTGCTATGATAGTAAAAAAAAATGCGAATTTGAGCATACATGAATTTGTATAAATAACTTCTCATGCTTACACTTGCATCGGTTTGTAAAGGAGCTGACGCATGATTTGTCAGTTTACTTCGCGCTGACTTAACGACATGCCGTATCCAATCTTTCTTCATCTCTTTCTGTGTTGATTCTCTTCTCAGCTCCCATAGTGTAAAAAAATCTCCCTAACAGTTGTTAACACCTTATCTTGCAGATCTCTGTTTATTTCATAGGTTTCTTTTCTAACCCCCACCTTCAGTGTAGATTATGACTCACTTTCTTGTTGGTAGAGCATTACTTCGATTGAATTACAGAGATGTCCTATCATGGTCTTATCGACGTAAAGGTGTTATCTAGACTAGTGAGCCCGGTTTGCGGATGTCTCAAACAGCTGGCATCAGTTATTCACCTTCAAAAATGGTGGAGCCAGCTTGAAAATATCGCCTTCCATTTCGACCCTAGCCTTGTATTTCTATAAAGCCAAAGGGCGTAGTCACGTTTTAATTTTAAGTGAGCGTATAAAAAAAAAAAAATAAAAACACACACACAAAGAAACCCCGCAAGGACGCGTACCCAATACATTTTAAATTCATTTCAGGTTTTATTTCATACTTTAAAATTAAAACGCGAATAGCATTGTTTTAAAGAAAGTACATAAATGTACGGTGGAGTAATGGATAGTGGCTCGGATTGAGGAATCAGAGAGCCGAGTTCGAATTCCAGTCGAATCCATTACATTCACTTACGTGCTAATTTGGGAATTAGCTTGGGAAATGTAAGAATCCTCTTCTTCTCCCCCTAGCTATGGGTAAATAGCAGGAGAGACCGGTTTCTGAAAACTTGGATGGCAACTGGTCTACCGCAGAAAAAAATGGCAACCTACTGCGGGAAAAAGTCTGCCTTGTCAGTCGTGCCTCGAAAGATACATGATCGCCTAAGCGTGTATCACGCATGGCACATAACTGACATCTATATTATAAACAAAAAAATCTGATTCTCTGTCCGTCACGCACCTTGTGTGACTTTGTATTCGTCTATATAATGTATACGCGTGTGACTTTGTATTCGCGTCTGTAATGTATATGCGTGCGTCCGTGTTGTGCATTAATGACTTATTTGTGCCATTTAATGTACACATAACCATACCACACGCATACGTACACATGCAATTTGACTGAATTTGAAAGACATCAGAATAATATATACCTCCACCCACGACTTAGTCTCGACAAACCCATACCCTGGACTGGAATAAAATCATAATGATAAAAAGATAAAAAGAGATTTAAACCCTAAAAATCAAATAATTATAAGATTTCATTGAACTTTTCTGGAATTATTCAGTAATAAATAGAATTATTTTAAAATTATCTTTTTAAGAACATTTGTAGAAATACATTAGGTTCGTCCTTGTTATATACTGAATGAAATTGGAATGGGCATCTGTACCGGGAGAACTTATCCCTCATTCTGTCTGTCAACGAGCCTTGGGTAACAGGAAATTAGTATAAGCCGGTCCTTTTGAAGTGCATTTTTATTACTTCTGTATTTCAACTGAATATATTCTAGAATGAAATAGTATTTTAAAAGGACAAACAATTTAGATTTGAAATTTGATTATCCTGCCATCAGCGAAACCACAAATTCCGAACTAATAATTATTACATTATTTACATTATTCGGACTATTGTCCTCATCTTTGTCGCCATATTTATTACAACGTTTCGGTCGTTGTACCTTCCGGCCTTCTTCAGGTGGTTGGAATGTCGAACTGAACCCTTTATTTTGCTCACTGGGGTAGACTGTTCTAGTTCCACGTGCCATGTTTAAATGGATGTCAGTTATCAGTTATCTCCTGTTAATTTCCCTCTGAAAGTTCTCCACTGCCTTAACCGGGTATTGAACTCACACTCTTTGAGTCCTATCACTGGATCTAACCAACGCCTTTATCCACAGTGCCATAGCCATGTCCTTGAGGGTATCTGTGTATGAATTTCTGGGTATTATAAACCTAATGTCTTCAGCAACCATTTTTACCAATGCTCATATTGCAATTTTTTGCTGTTATCATCTCGTGTTTTTACCAGAGCTCATATTGCAACTTTTGTTGTTATTACCGCTTTTCTCTAGCACTCCTTATTACTGGTTCCCATATTGTATTCATTTCTATGCTTGGTCGGCTCAGGAAAATTTTGTGGCCTAGCATATAACTGATAACTGACATCCATTAAAACATGGCAGGTGGAACTCTCAGAAATATAGACATATACTAATAATTATTATGATACTAATTATTAGATACTAATAATTATTATGATGTAATGTACAATTTTCGAGTATTTTTATTGACACACATCTTGTCAAAAAGTGCATGGAGGTGACTAAATTTCACGTTTCCGTAATAGTTTTCTTACATAATTCTGGAATTATGACTTGTGAGATAAAAAATTAAAACTCTACAAAATCATGCAGCGTCAGTAAAGAGGTTATGGTGTCACTTATTTGGTTTCCCCCAGATACCAGCGGTCACCAGTACATCACCAGAGACTGATCGCACGGTTAAAATAAAAATAATGAGTCCAGGAATTTATTTCAAGATTATACAATGTTTTAAAAAAATACCAATAAAAAACGTTCGATGTTTATTGCACATAGGAACTTGTGCCTCTTTAAGGCGTAGGAGATCATGCCGCTTCAGAACTTTCAACCCTTTATCTATCTGCTTGGTACCTAGCGGTCCATAAATTCCTCCACAAGATATCTCCACTCAGTCTTGTCCGATGTTGCCGATTGAGCTTCAACCCAGGATCACCGACCTATTGCATTCCACTCCCTCTCCAGAGCCCTGAGTCACGTCTTCGTTGGCCAGTGAGACGTTGCAGTCGTTGTTTGGATCCCAGATAAAGAACCTCCACATGCTTCGTAGCTCGAAGTAATGTTTGTCTCCATTACTATCATTTCCAATACATATTCTGCTATCCATTTACACAAGTTCGTTAGGCTACTTCCTCTTCTCTTCTTGCCTTCAATATATCATGTGTCCGATTCTCCAAGCCTTATTTCTTTATTATATGTACCGTATGAAAGAGAGTAAAGTTAAGTTGAAAAGACACTACTCTTGAACAATGTACAAAGGGAAGCGACTGCATCTTGCTTCCCCTCAAACTACGTCACTTCTTTTTTACTCGAGTTACTTTGATTTTAGACCATTCACCCAATTATTAAATGAGGATATAATTTAATACTTTGCTATTGAAATATAGTAATTTAGGTAATGTTCCCCCCTCTATAGTAGTGAATACTAGACAATCTCCTCACAGATGAAGAAGGACTCGAAGCAACAGAAATATGGTTCTGCAGAAGGATTCTGAGAATATCATGGACTGAACATATGAGCATCAACGAAATTTGAGAGAAAATGGAAGTTATACTTAACATCAGAAAGAGACATTTGAAATCTCTAGAGAACGTAATAAGGAAAGAGGGCTTAGAAAATTTGACATTCACAGGACAGATTGACGGTAAGAGAAACAGAAACATAACGCATACCCTACTTAGCGAGATTGAGTAAATGGGTGGCGGAACAAGATTTAAGAAAGAGAATAAAAAGACAACATTTATTAAGAGCTACAAAGTACAGGAAATTGTGAAGAGCCATGATCGCCTACATTCGCTTACTTTGGATATTTCACATCATCGGGAAAAAATATCTGCAGTAAACACAGGAATAAAAATTATATATATATATATATATATATATATATATATATATATATATATATATATATATATATACACAGGATGTCCATAAAGTTTGTATGCACTTTAAAAAATTTATAACTTTATTTGTATTTGTGATAGAAATAATCTGTAAAAATGTTATAAAGTTTAATGTACCTAGATTTAAGTATAGCTAAAATAACTAATGTGATTTCAGAAAATTACTGTAAATCAGTTGGCAAATGTTTTCCGTAAACTGTAAAATCGTATTACCCTTGTATTGCTAATGATGGAGGACATGTGGAAACTTAAATAAAATTTCAATAAACCTTTCAAAAATGTTCATTTATTTGCTTCTTTATAAAGTTTAATCCTTTTTTATAAAAAATTAATTGATTTTCGAAAATTTTAGAATAAAGTAATTATTTTTTTGTAAAATCGTATTACCCTTTGTATTGCTAATGATGGAGACATGAAAATTTAATGGACAACCTAAAAAATGTTGTGTGTGTGTGTGTGTGTGTGTGTGTGTGTGTGTGTGTGTGTGTGTGTGTGTATATATATATATATATATATATTCACACTCTATAAGATTAAGGTATGCTATATTTATGAGTTAAAGTGCTCGACATCGGGGATATGGCGTATGTAAATATAAAAGCGAACATAGAGGTCAACACCCAGCTGCATGTACGGCCAGTTTCATGAATAATTGGTAACATAACCGTTACCGCTCACCCAATAAAAATTAGAATAGACCTACGCATAATGCACCATGTCACTGGCCAGCATATATAAATAGTATAGCTACATGAGCTGACGAATGTCCACTTTTATAATTATATTTACTTACACTTTATGCCTGATATCGAGCACTTTAACACTTTAATATAGCATACCTTATAACTATATTTTTATCACATATATATTCTTTTTTTATATATGTTTTCTTTTTCTTTTCTTTTTTTTTTTTACATATATTTTTCATTTTTTATTTCGATCGCTGTAACAAATTTGATACCTGTACTTTGCAGAACAGATCTTTTTCAACAACAACAGTAAAAATAATGTAATTCAATATAAAATTTAGCCTCATTTTTTTTTTCGTTTCATTGAAGAACTTTTCCTTTTTGTCTTAACCTTTTATTATGAACGAATAAATCATCAATATTCGATCTGTAAAATTCACTCAGTTAATTTTACGTTTTCTTGTTATTTTTTCAGACCATTTCCCAACGACAGTGAAAGATTTAGAACACCGACATGCCGCCACTCAACTGAGAACAAACTCTAAACCAATCGGTGAGTCTCTTATTAGACAAACAAAATAAAACAAAATATTCTTAACGCACGAAAACCGGCATGCATTTTACATATTCATTGCTACTTTGTATATCTGAGGCCATTACAATCTGACAACCATATTTGTGTACGAGCTACGATTAGATATTGCTATGCGAATCTATTTGTTTTATTTTGGTAAATGAAATTCAAACTCTACAGAATGCATCCACTTCTTCCCCATTTTTTAAAAACCTTTTGCCATAGCTGATATATTTCATCAATAAATGTCATTGTCTAAGTGTTTGTAAATATGAACAAGTTGTTTACACTATAAAGTGGTTAGGCAGAAGAATAAGATAGAGAAAGAGGGAAATCTCATTGAGGATGGGCAGCAATAATTGAAACACATCCGTTGTCGTCTGTTTCAGAGAATCTTTCTCTTGTATTTCACATCCTTCTCCTCTTTACATTCTTTTATCGTTTGGGATGCACGCGTCCTGTTCTATTTTACTTTTCAAAAGCCCTTCTCTGGTTAGACAAGGAAGATAAAAGGAGAGACACAAAAGGACGAAATAAACACAGAAAATCGTCATTTCGCTGTCATATTTATCTAAACTAATGGTTCAGTTTAGCAATGGCTAAAACCAGAAGCCAGCATACTGGGTGTGCAAGTCATGAATGGCAAAATCGTTTAAAGTTATTCTAGGTACCTTCAAAACTATGAACACTTTCGATACGTAGGGGGGAAAAAATAAAAAATCTGGTAAACGATTTTATAGAAGAATGAAAATTCTGCTTTCGAAATGGTCCGGCATGTGATGTCAAAAGAGGGACAGGTGAGCCTGTTTATATGTTTGCCCACATATTGGAGGCGAAAAGAGACGAACAGCTTCAAAACTCCTGTTGAGTAGCAAGAAGATGAGCTGCAATTGGGCAGTTTTGTAACCAAAACTCCCATACATGTCGGTTTCGGCTGAGCTTTTAAACCCTACTATTTGCAATGTGGATGTGTGTAGATGTTAACTTACTATATTAACCCCTTTCAAGCAAGATGGTTATATAATCATATCAAGAAAGGAGTTTATAAATAAATAAGAACAACACATTGAGAGTTACATTCATTAGTTATATATTTACAAAAGCAGTTAATATATGCATTTAGGCACATCTATATTCAAATGTGTGTATCGCCGGAAGCATTTTCATGGGTTGGGCTTTTCCTTTTAACGATTTCAAAAGGTTAGAATTATTTATTTTTTATAAATGCTGGCCAAATAAATAAAATTCACGAGAACTATGTTTTAACTCTTTTTTTTTTATTATTACTCTTTTGTCTCGTCATTTCAACACGCTCATTGTTACTTGAGTGAAGAGGCTTTTGCCATTGTGTCTGGAGGACTTGCTTCGAGTCCTCAGCAAATGGTCGACGCCTTTCCTGCAGCCGCCTGTCCGTCCATGATAATGATCATAATTGTCGAATTCTCGTGTGGTGATGATGACGGGGATAGAATTATTCTGATGAAACCAATCTCATTGTGATATGTTGTAGCACAAAAGAGAAAAGCAAATACAGAGACAAAATAGTTACAAACTCCATTGTCTTTTTTTAATTTAAAACTTTTCTTTTTCTTTAACTTCTCGGAGATGTTCCTATGATTCAGAGACACCAACATGGTGTCTCTGAAGTTATCTTGGAGACATCCAAGATACATTCAACAATGTAACGGCTGAATCTAAACGTATACTGTCTTGACAAAAGATTTTTACGTCGTCTTAGCGAACTAGTATAATTGAATATTACTATTAAATAACGAGTTCGATCCTCACTGGGTGATGTATGCTTGTGGTCTTGTGCCAAAGCTAAGCTGAGCTTAAAGTAGATAGATAAAAAAAAACTTAGGTTTTTATCATCCTTACAATCAAAATGGGTCAAGTGGACGCAATTAGTCATGTTTTTCTTTCTCCCAATTCTATTACTTCTTTGCTTTCTCCTCGCTGTGTTTTTATTTCCTTAGAGAGGCTACTTTTCTTTAGAGGCCACTTCTCCCTTCGTCTCTTCATACTTCTTACGATGTTTACTTTTATTCTTTCTATCACTTTTTGGGGCCAAAAAAATTCCAGTTTTTTTTCTTCGTTTCCACTCATGATGCTGAGAATATTGTTGGCCAATAAACTGCCGTTCAATATTGGATGCAAGCTCTAGACTTGATTATAATATGACGTCAATTGAATTTGAATTTTATATACTTCGTCTATTTCGTACCAGTGCCCTTTGGAAATGCGTGAATCCATTTAGTCTCTCAGAAGCTATGGGTTAAATGGCAGACAAGACAGTTGGCAGTCGAGAAGAAGGACTTTTCTGATATTCAAAACCGTGGTGAAATCAACAGGAAACTACTCCATTATCTTTCCCAATATGCCATGACAATTCACAGATAATAAAGAAAAGGAATCTGGAGAATCGTGTTCACCTTCATCTTTAAAAGACATAACATTCAATATATATATATATATATATGTATTAAGACATTTTTATGTTTAAACGTTCTTTTTATAAATACAAATATTTAAGTAAATGCTCTGTTTATAATAAACAGTATTAAACAACATTTACCGGCCTGAATGTCCGAGAAATTTTCATAGAAAATATTCGTCCTCCGACAGGAATCGAACCCGTATCCTATACGGAACCGTCATATAACCTGACGTGCCTTTAAGCGATTTGACCACAGATGAGCGCTCGGTTAGCAAGGTCAAATTTTTACTGCCTTTAAACTTCAATCTTCCATGAATCTCACACGTACATTCATATCTGCTCAAAGCGTATTCAAATGCAAACAAATGACGTCACACATTATGAAATAGACAAGTCCGACAATTATTTTAAGACGGAGGACGAATATTTTCTATGAAAATTTCTCGGACATTCAGGCCAGTAAATGTTGTTTAATACTGTTTATTATAAACAGAGCATTTACTTAAATATTTGTGCCTATAAAATAATGTTTAAACATAAAAATGTCTTGAAATAATTGTCGGACTTTGTCCATTTATAATATATATATATATATATATATATATATATATATATATATATATATATATATATATATATAAGGTGTCACCATCCCTTAAGTCTCACCATCGCACTTAGGTAAAGCATGTATCTATTTCGTCTTTCCTGAGTTAAATAGCTAAGCAGGTTGAACTATCAAGAGTTAGTTGATTAGAAGAATGACATTTCTGATTTTCGAAACCGAAGAGAAAACAACAGGAAACTACTTCAATATCTTTCCTAAAAGTCACAGAGAATAAAGAAAATACTGTGGAGAACCATGATCATCTACATCTTGAAAAGACCTACCATTTAAAAAGATATATATAGGAATGGTGTCGGCTTTCCTTAATTAGCAGAAATTCCCTTCGGAAAGTCAAAAATCTATTTCGTCTCCACTCACTATAAGGTTAAATAGCAGGATAGATTAGGTTTTCTAGACTTGAGTGGCAACAAGTCTAGGAGAAGGATTTTTCTAATGTTCAAAGTTGTAGAGAAGTCAACAGGAAAAGAACTTCATTAACTTTTCTAAGGCGTCATGGTAATTCACAAATAAAGAAAAGTAAGCATGGTATATATATATATATATATATATATATATATGAAGAAATATACTCTTAAGGTGTGCTATATTTATGGGATAAAGTGCTCAGTATCAGAAATAGAGCGTATGTAAATCTAAAGGTGAACACTGAAGTCAACACTTAGAGGTGACACTCTGTTTCATGCTAGAAGCAATCGTGAGGCCACTTGTGCGTCGTGGCCTGACGATTACGTCTAGCATGAAACAGAACTCGCCTCTAAGTGTTGCCTTCAATGTTCACTTTTAGATTTATATATATATATTCCTATGTGTCCTCCAATCCTCCATTTTATATTTATATATATATATATATATATATATATATATATATATATATATATATATGTGTGTGTGTGTATACCAATTAAAGATCCGGGTTCGAATCTCAACATGGTCGATTTTTCCGGAAGATTACTTCTTGATGTTATTGTTCTGGGGAAAGCACCTGGAAACCAAACAACGGATTGGCTCAGTTTGAGTGAATGTTGGTAGAGGGAACTTTTTGGAAGCCGTCAATAACTGTATCAGCACACGAAGTCACAGGTCATCGTGAGCGTACTGACCTTGTTCAGTGATCTTAACCAGATTAAACGTTCCCGCCTAGAAACTGTAACTAAGGTCTGCTTAGCATATTTGCAGTATAAACCCCACAAGGGGCTTTGTTGGTGTTGAACAAATACAAAGGTGCCTGGGTAGGCGTCAACTAGCCGCCCTTGCAGACAGGTGTATTCGGAAAACCTAGTAGTCGATCAGTACCCCCCCCCCCGCGCGACACACAGACACTTAGGCAAGGCGCCAGCTTTCCTAATCTCTTTCTAATATCAACTCCTTAACTTTACTTCGGTCATTTTTTCTAATAAACAACTTCTGATAATATGGACATGTTTACTTAAAAAGCAATTTTTCTGTATTAAACCTGTAAATTGTGCCTTGAAAATGAGGTTAACAAGAAACGACTATCATCTAAAATCAATGCGAACGTTACGAAAAGAATATATATATATATATATAATCGTTGAATAATTCATAAATAATGAAAAGTTAAGCAAGGTATATATATATATATATATATATATATATATATATATATATATATATATGTGTGTGTGTGGTCCTCCATCTTTATTATATATATATATATATATATATATATATATATATATATATATATATATATATATATATATTAATCGTTGACTTATATAGGTTGAATAACTGAGTGTATTAATAATAATATCAAATCGACACAAATTTATATCCTGTTTAATATTATTGGTTCTTGAATTTGTATTTAATTGAAAACCAGTTTAATGATGTTTATTTTCTTCGTGAAAAACACAAAAGTTTTCAGATATTCAATTTAAATGTTACAATGCAAAATCACCTTTACCTTGAAAATCAATCAAATCCTTTTGCCTTCTTATTAACCAATTGGAAAAAGTCGACATTGTTTTTTTTTACTTTGTGTAAAGTCCGATTCCAGATGTCATATGTACTCGTCTTTAATATATATATATATATATATATATATATATATATATATATATATATATATATATATATAATAATAGGAAAAGAACAGTGAGAGTTATAATTCAGGAGTTCTTAGCTTTTATTTTTTTATTGAAAAAAAAAAAAACCTGCAGTGCTTAATACGCTCCGTAGAGCTTAATATAATAATTATTTTTTTTATAAATATGATTCCATCGCGACACAGAACATCCTGTTTTAAAACGGAAAACTCTAAATCTTGATTAATGTTAAAAATTAAATCTACAATACAGAGTTTCGTTCCATTCTCAAGCGAAATATATATATATATATATATATATATATATATTTGCTTACATACTGTCTACTGGAAATACAAACCTGAATTTACTTTATAACATGGAAGACTTCAAGCTTGTACGAAAATATAAGAATCTATTGATCTCCGCCTATTCCTGTAAGTAAGGAAAGGATTTATTAACGAACTGTTTAAAATTGTTCCATCGTGCCTGTCTAATATTTTGAAATCATTTTTGATTTGCTTTGTAACGTGGAGGACTTCAAGCTTGTATGAAGATATAAGAACCTATTGATCTCTGCGTATTCCTATATCAACGGAAGGGATTTCTTGAACTGTTTATATGAGAAAATAGTTCAATCGAGCTTTTTTAATATTTTGAAATCATCTTCGAATACGTTTTTCACAACATCGCCCACGTGACGACGACGTGATCATATTTAAACGGAACGCTGATCTTATATAAAAATTTCAGTTATCGGTTTGGATTAGTTGTGCTCTTATGTCCATCGTCTTTTCATGTTGAATTTTATATGTTCTAATGTTAATTATGTTTTATGAATCTGTCCTGATGATGGTCTAAAATAGACCGAAACGTCCGACGTTGACTTTATATTAACATTAATACAGCATAATTGCATATTAAGATTTTTGTTTGTTTTTTCTGTATATTTTTCTTCATACTGTCGGATCTAGATCCATATATTTGCTTACACACACACACACACACACACACACACATATATATATATATTCTAATAATTTCGTTAATATATGTATAATATAATATATGTACTCATCTTTATTGTTGACTGTGCTAATAGTTTGCTAGAACAACTCAAACAATATTCCAGAGATAATATTTTCCCCAGTTAGACCACCCAGAAAAAGCGTATCTTGAAAATCAATCAAATCCTTTGCCTTTTTTATTAACCAATTGGAAAAGCCGACATTGTTTTTTCTTTGTTATTTCCCACTTCCGGCGCTATTACACTTTTGCACCCCGCAACCATAAATCTCATGGCAGTAACGTGGCAAAGATGCTCATTAGAAAAAAAATCAAAGCAACGCATAAACAAAACAAATCGTGATATCAGGCTGATTACTTTACATTGTTTATGTGGAGTTAAAGATGTAAGATTTTATCATTTTTGGTATCAAATCGACACAAATTTATATATTATTGCTTCTTGAATTTGTATTTAATTGAAAACCACTTTAATGTTTATTGTCTTCATGAAAAACACAATAGTTTTCAGATGTTCAGTTTAAATGTTACAATGCAATTTTGAATGCACTGGAAGTAAATATATGATGTTTTGAAATTAGTGGAGGGTGCAAAACTATACTTAGCACCCAACTTCATATGATATTATCCATTTTCAAAACGAATTACTCATCTCAAACGCCCCACCTTTTTTTTCTAATAACTTATTTTAAAAGTAAATCCCTATTAACAACTAACAGACTTTTTTTTTTACATTATTTATTTCAGAAATCATAATGTTATCATCGTCGACATTAGTTCGATCGAGTGACTTCCCGGCATTTATACAACACAAACCGACGATTCGATGGAAATTCCTAAAAGAATATGGAGTATGGGGCGTTAAATTTCACTCCTTCAACTTACCCTATACCAATGGATGCACCACAGATTATATCTACATTCGGGATTTAGCACGCGAGTGAGTATTTAGTTTCATCTGCATGTCACTTTCAGACGTGGGCGATCGTGACTCTTCACAACTTCCTGTCTTTTGTTGTTCATTGACACATTAAGCTTGTTATTCTTTCTTTCTTCCTACTTCTCGTGTCATCAGTATGCCTTACGAGTGTTAAATTCTCTAGGCGGTCTTTCCTCATTGTGTGTCCTAGAAATTTCATCAGTCTCTTTTTGATTGTAAGTATAGTTTTCGTTGTAGTTCCTATTTTTCTTAAAACTTGCTCGTTGCTCACATGTTCTGTCTATGGTATTCCTGCTAATTATTGGTAGAACTATATCTCTTCAAGTCTATTCTTCATCTGTGAGGAGATTGTCCAGCATTCACTGCTATATAGGAGATTGGGTATTACATAGCAGGTGAGCACTGTTTCTAATATTTTTCTGTCTCTTGATACCATGTTCAGTTTCTGGAATACTGTTTTACCATTCCTATATGACTTCAGAACTTCCGTACCACATTTTCTGTCTCCTCATTTAAATTTCTGTACCTGCTTGATTTTTACCTCCCCAATATGTAGCTCACATCCTGGACTGTCTCTTTTGCTGACGACCATGCATTCTATCTTCTTAATCTTTTCTTTATCTTCGTCCTATCTTCTGCCTTTCGTCAGTACCTTGTCTAGGTATTCTTTCTGTTTCCAGTGTCATGCTCATATCTTATGCTGTTAAGATTATATCCACTGATAATAAATCCTGGTAGGATTTCTATTTCTCTTAGGATTGTCTCGGTAAATATGTTTAATAACTCTGGTGAATGTATTAATAAGTGTATAATGTGTTCACGCATACACACGCAAATCCATAAAACTAAACATACACTTACAACGCTTGCAGGGCACCTTGACGTAGTGCAATGGTTAGTAAGCTTCTCTCACAAAAACAATTATAACTGAGTTGTGAGTTCGATCTCCACTGGGTGCTCTATACTTTCGGCCTTGTGTAACATCTAAGCTATGCTTAGAACATTACCATTTTTAATGCTAGCAGTAGGTGAGTATGAAAGTGTGTATATGAAGAGACCCTTATTCGTTCGTACGTTGTGTGTAAAGTCCGATTTTTAACCAACGTCTTTATCCACTATGCCATGACACATGGCACAGTGGATAAAGGCGTTGGTTAGATCCAGTGACAGAACCCAAAGAGTGTGAGTTTAATACCCGGTTAAGGCAGTGGAGAACTTTCAGAGGGAAATTAACAGGAGATAACTGATAACTGACATCCATTAAACATTGCACGTGGAACTAGAACAGTCTACCCCAGTGAGCGAAATAAAGGGTTCAGTTCGACATTCCAACTACCTGAAGAAGGCCGGAGCGTACAACGGCTGAAACGTTAGAATAAATATGGCGACAAAGATGAGGACAATAGTTCGAATAATGTAAATAATGTACATAATACCTCATCTCAGAAATATAGACAGATACCGATTTAAGTTGTTGAGAGACTTACATTAAAAAGATTTTCTTGTTGGTTTGTTAGAGTTACTATCTTAGGTCATTTGTATGCTTTTACACGACACGTGGTTCGCTGGCGCCCCTAGATGAGAAACGAGACACGTCCTGTCCCTGGGTAAAGAGAAATAACAAGAGAAGTCTAGTTCTACCCGTTTTATACAAAGCCCAAGAGCCACTCAAGGCATGAAGTTGTTATCAGGGTGTTAAAGGAGGAAGTAAGAAATGAATATTATAGGGATATGTAAGATAGATAACGGTTGACCCTAGACTATAAGAGGTTAAGATTGTAGTGATCAGAGAAACATCCGTTTCTTTAACGGCGTAACAGCTTCGGGGAAGAAGCTGTCTGAGTGGAACTTCCTCCTCATCAAAATGAATACAAATGAATGTGGATGATTTGACCCTGTGTATGTGTCAGGCAGGTTCTAGCTGCGAAGGTTTTAACTGATGGAACTAAGGAATATAGCTCGTCTGAACATTTGACATGGAAATAGTAATATGTTAGCGAGAGGTTAGCAGATGACTACACGTAAGAATTGAATTGATTACAATAGTAACGTACTGTGAAAATGTGAAACGTTCTACCTGTTAGTAAGATCATCCTTAAAATTATTTGCTTGTTTCAGTGAAGAGGTTTTATGAAAATTTCTCATCGAATAATTTCCTTAAATTCAATGCAAGTTTAATCTATACTTTGAATATACGCTCTTTAGCGCTAGAGGGCGTCGTCAGTGATGTTCTGAATTGGGTCATTGGGCAGTTTAGGGTCTTTCAAACATCATACTCCCCCTCACCAAATCGACTCCATCAGAGCTGATCAGTCTCTGATACGCCCTCCTATCTAAATTAACAGCCTGCAGACACTGACTTATATTAGGCAAACCCTATCCCTCTGTCACGCATTTGATTGGAATTTGACCAACAGCTAATCGCAATGGTGTCAGCTCTTTTTAAGTTGTTTACGGGGGATTTAAAATTTTTCTTTTTTTTTATGTGGATACTCAACGGATACTCTGAAGGTAATTATGTGTTTTCCGTTGTTTTTTTTCTTTTTTCTTTTTTTTTTGTTTTGTTTTTACTTTTTCGTCAAATAAAATAAAAAAGCAACCATAAAATAATTAAAAATTTACATTGTTTTTACGATTAAAATAAATCAATTACGACTTATACAGCGTGTTAAAACGAAAATAAATATATAATTAAATATCGTTTAAAACAAGTTGAACGAGTAAACTTAAAAAATTCGATTAAATCTATCGATTAACGCGGTAAAATTAACCTGTGAGATTAACAAATAAAATTAAATTTACGTTTTTTTCGTTACGAAAAAAAAAAAAAAAAGACGGAAAGAGGTATGAATAATATTGCTAAGTAAGATATATATATTTATTCATCTATTTATCTAGCCATTGTTTATTTATTTACTTACAGAAACCATAAAGTTATTCACTGTGGAGAAACAACCCCCGAGGAATTCATTTCTCATGGATCCCAAATTGAAGTAGAGTTTCACTCGGACTTTGCCAAAAATAGACCCCAGTTTGATTTCCGGGTCGAGCACGGTGATGATGAAGGTAAGAATAAGGTTGAAGACCCAGCCCCAGGTTGATGTCATGGAGAAACAAATTTCCTTTCTTCGAATTGTGACACGAGAATCATGTAAATCGGGACCTGGGAAAGAGAATAGTTGGTGAACCCATTACCTGTTCACAATAAACATTGTTAAAATTGTTTTAAACATTTTATGAGATATAAGTTCTTTCACCCTAATTTAAGAAACATATGCTTTTGAAAAGTATGCAAAGAACGGTTTTGCTGTTGGAAATTGCTACCTCCTCGTTTTGGGTAACTTTTTTTTTCAATATTATTTTATTACATAGTTTCGACAAATATCAACTTCAATCGTATCAATGTTTTCGGCAACTTACACACACACACACACACACACACACACACACACACATATCCGAATTTCGTTATGGATAGGTATACGGATTCCCATTGATATTTGTTACAGAATGCGTAAGAAAAAAAGAAAAAGAAATGAAGCAAACTCTACCGTACTTTTTACAACCCGAGTTGAGTGTGTGTGTGTGTTCAATTGTGGTCATAGAATCCTGACAGTGATGGATTGTCTTTGTTTATGTTTTAATATAAAGCTGAAAAACGCTTGAAAACAGCCAGTACGCTTATGACACTGGAGAAGACAAGAGCGTTCAGTAGTTTCAGCAGAGAAAGACCGAGTCGCTGGCCGACCTGTCGACATCATCTTTTTTTTTCTATCGCCCTCTCCCTCGAACTTTCTCCAAGAAGCGATATCTACTACTAGTTAAAGGAAATAAATCGAGTAACAAAAGACCTGAAGAAGATCGTCTGTCGTTGATTCAGTTTGTGATGCAGCGTTGGGGTCTGAAGAATTGCCGATAGACTACTAGAATCCATAAACAGCACGCAATGCAACACATCGACGCGAAAGGACATTAGATATGAAGAGGCTGTAATCGGCACATAGATAGAATCGGACTGAAATTGATAGCTGTGTATTAATAGTTCCAGATCGATAGTCAGCACCGCCTGAACAAACTGAACAATTTTAAGTACACAATTCTGGCATATTTGGTCTCTGCTTTTAGGTCAATAAATAAATTAATTTGAATAAGCTTCGAGAGTTTTGTAAAATTAGTTTTTTCCTAAAAGAGATAAAATCAATATTTTTTTTTTAATTTCAAAAATTTCAAAATTAAAATAAAGTGTGAATAGTAAAAAGAAAAACAACTTTACAAGATATTTGAAGACTTGCCTTCGCAAAAAAATCGATCAGTGTTCAGATTTACTCAGCTTATTATGACTTAAGATCAAATGGAGTGTGGAATTCGAGTAGAGCGATTGTGTTATGCTAATCTTTCAAGTTCGGAGACCCTGGCTTCGTTGAAACCAGAACTCGACATCCTGATTTTTGCCGAAACTCGAACGCTGACTTTTTCTGCTGATGAAAAAATTATCTCACCTACACGGTAGACTGCAAAAATGATTATTACTCGCCTTGTAAGTCTGTGATGCAAACAAAAGAATACTTAGATAGAGGTATCAAAAGTAAAAAAGAGAGATAAATTATTAATTTTTACAGACAAAACTAAGTCTGGTTTAAGGCCATATATTTCTAGAAAATGAAAATCGAATTAGTTTTTAATGGTTTTAGAAACTACTAAATCATGAGGAAAGAGCAACTGTGTGGTAAGTAAACATGGATTCGCAATAATGAACAGCATCGATACGGTTGAAATAATTACTAAGATATGAGATGCCCTTAAGTTATATATGTATACGTTTGTTGATATATATATATATATATATATATATATATATATATATATATATATATATATACACACATTTGAATGCAAAAATGCACTTTGTTTTATTCTTTAATTTCTTTTTTTGTGTGTGTGCAGACGATGTGAGGAAGCAGTTCTCCAAAGAACAAGTGGAACAAAAACCTCTTGTTATTGGTAAGTATATCTTTATTATCATATTCCTATTTCCAGCGACATTAAATGACCTTACCAAAGGCAAAAAAGTCAAAATTTTGTTACACAATGTAATTATTACGTTAATCGTACATTCTTTGGACCCATCTAATTAAGGCCAAGTGTTCGATAAATGTGTAATAAAGATTTATCAAACATCTAGCCCTGCGTAATGGATAGCGGCTTGGATTGGGGAATCGGACAGCCGAGTTCGAATTTCAGCCGAATCCATTATATTCACTTACGTGCTAATACCCTTGGGAAAGGTGTGAATCCTCTTCTCTCTCCAGATATGGGTAAATAGCAGGACAGACTGGGTTCTATAGCCTTGGATGGTAACTGGTCTAGGAGAAGGACAACTCTGAATTCAAAACCTGCGGAGGGTCGTTTGGGGACCATGTGGCACGTAGTGCACCAGGTCTCTGTATTCGGCCCTTCAGAAAGTGTGGATGGTCCTGCACGAAACATTCACCACTATAATCAAATCTCATGTGTTGTTGTCAGGCTGTCGGTTTCCTAGCAGCTGATCTGCTTGACCCTCATACGTCGAATTCGACGGGAGAGTCGTGTATTGTGTATATTTAGGCAACAATTTTTCATTGATGCATGTTTCATTAAATAATGCCTATAATTGATAACAGAAGCTATTGGTTTATACCAACGGATTCTCATACTTAATACTTCTCGTTTTCACTCTCGCGTGGTCATGTGTGACGTCACGAGCTGCGACGCGATTTTCGATTCCGCGTCTCGTATACACTTGTTAGTCATTGCTTTGAATCAAAAGCACTTGTTTTACACAAAACATATTTATCTTTCAAAATACTCCCATTTCTTGTTAATGCACTTAATCTATTAATCGCAGAGATCGAATATTATACAATGTAAATCTCAGATAAAAAATTCTGGTACTCTGTCAGTCAGTTATGTGCCTTAAATGATACACGCTTAGGTGATCATGTATGTTTCGATACATGTCTGACGAGGCAGATTTTCCCCCGCAGTAGGTTGTCATTTCTTCCTGCAGTAGACCAGTTGCTATTCAAGGCTATAGAACCCGGTCTCTCCTGCTACTTGCTAATAGCTGGGAGGAGGATTCATACCTTTCCCAGGGGGATTAGCACGTAACGAATGTAATGGATTCGACTGGATTTCAAACTCGGCTCTGTCAGTCTACCTATTTACTGATTAACATCTCGTAAACAGTTTTGAATTTTAGTAAAATTTGAGTGAGTTCTGATAATCATGTTTTGAATTGAAAATTAGAAGTGGATTATGATCGGCCCGGAATTAAAGCAATTATTTCTGACAATATAAGACGATTATATGCCTACAGGAAATAAATTGTAAGTGATTTTACTAGAGAAATAAATTGAAAATTAGGAAAAAAATGAATAGGGTTTGTTTTTATATATGTATAATTCAAATTCATTTTAAATAATTTTACTACAGAAATACATTGTCAGTGACCAGGAGTTTAGAATCCTGCCTGCCTGACAGTATAATGCTGTTATATAATATATATTTGTACATACACATTACGTAATTAGCGACCACTCAACAGTTATTATTACTTATGACCCTTAATAAAAATGTTCATATATTTATCTCTGATCTTAGTGAACTGGCTTTCATAAGAGTCGTATTCCTTTCTCATTTTGAGACAAGTGGGTAGCGGTCAAGCCTTTCCTAAAATTAAAAAAGGCAGCTTTCACTCAACCCAGTCATAATATGACGCATTCCTATTATGGCGTCTACTGTAAGGTGGTTGATTTTTTGCTGCCGGGTATTTTTTTTTTATTAAATTTTCTTTTGTAATATTATCTTGAATTTTTTTTTTCTTTAAGTGGAGCATAATCAACATATTATTAATTTTAGATGACTATTTCTTCCATCTTAATTTCAGTTGCTTTCTATCACAATTTTCAGTCTGTGGCTGTTATTTCCTTTTGACGCTGATTCGTAATGGCTTCAGGTTTATGGCCTTCATTAATTACAATAAAAAATATTACCACTTCATTAGGGCTTTAAAAACCGACATCTTAAAAGTATCCATCGATGTTCTATTATAATTGTGCTTGTTTCTCCCTTCGTCAATTCACGCGAACGTTACGTCCTGTCAATATCTAATAAAAATGATTTGCTGGCGTGGAAAGAGAGAAAAAAACAGTATTTGGTTTCAGTGAGAAAATGAAAGAGCTACATAAGTGTTTAACGTCTCCTACCAATATCTCATAAATAATGGACTATTCCATATATGGCCTGGAGCCCCTTCTGTTTGTCTCAAGGTCCTTGATAAAATCCAAAGACGGATATGCAATGAAATTGGCCCTGATCTGGCATCTCGTCTGCAGTCGCTCTCTCACAGACGTGTCGTTGCTTTCCTCTGTCTTTTTACAAATACTTTCATGGTAACTGCTCCGATGAGCTGCTTTCGCTGGTTCCCAGTCTTCATGAATTTAAGCGTTCAACTAGGCTGGCATCTCGCTCTCACCCTTTCACTGTCGAAACTGTTAAATCTAGCCGTCTCTTCTACTTCAATAGCTTCATGTCTCGCCTGTGGAACTCCCTCCCCTTTTCCTGTTTCCCTGATAGCTATAATTGCCAACTATTCAAATGTAATGTCAATCGACGTCTCTAAATGCCTTGATCTATCCCCTATCCTTCTCTTCATCCTTTCCTCTATCACTCCTATTTGCTCTAGCTCCAACTCTCTGTAACCCCTTACGTGCTAGTGGCTTCCCGCCTTGCTTGGGGTGGAATGTTTAAAAAAAAATTACTTGCGTTGGAAAAACACAACATATCTGAGACACTACTTGGTTTCAATGAGAAAATGAATGAAAGGAAAAAAGAAGAGAAGATAGAAGAGTTCCATGGCTGTTTCAGCAAAATGGAAAACATTTGCCAATTTCAAATCTTTTCATTTCTACTATATTTATATATATATATATATATATATATATATATATATATAGGGTGCGGTTAGTGGAATCGGCAAGATGAATTCAAATTCCAGCCTAGTCAATTCGCACAAATGCCATTTGGGAAATACATGAATCCTTAACTTCCCTTTCCTAACTATAAGTTAAATAGCAGGCTAGACTGGGATCTCTTAGCCTTGGTTGGTAACCGGTCTAAGAGAAGGAAATCTCTGAATTCCAAAATGTGGAGAAGGCAACAAGAAACTACTCCACTATCTTTTCGGAGAAGTCATGGCGATTCACAAATAATAAAAAGAAGAGTCTTGATCATAAAGTTTAATAAATTTTTGTTCATTCCAAACAAACTTACAATTAATAATTCATGAAGGTTGTGTTATTTCGATGTCTCATTTTGTTGTATTTTTAATTTTTCGACAGAGGTACCACTCCAGATCAGCACCGAGGAAAAGGCGGCCATCATCTCGTTGTCGGTAATCTTGCCGATTGCGCTGGTCATTGTTGGTTTACTGGCAATCGCACTTGCAAAACACATGAACGGGGCAAAGAAAGAAAAACGCCAAGAATTGCCAACCCACTGCCCTAAATCACAAAAATATGCTCAGTCTAAGCAAGTAAGTATTTCTATTCGAATTTAGTGTATTTTATTAAGTCTTTGCCTCGATCAAGCAATCATATAATCAATATTCTAGCAGGACGTCACAAGTCATTATGACCGCGGGTTCGAGCGAATTGGTTTTGTTCATATTGTTAATCATGCCAAATTATATACTTAATTATATAATAGATGTATTGTAATCCGAAAAAATGCTATGAGAAATGTGTTATTGTTTTGGAGCGTGCAGTCGCAACGCTGAGTTTGAATTTAAATTTTAAGGTTGTGCGTTCTTGTACAAATATAGTGATAAGAGAATTCTTTTTTACTGGTACATCTATTTTCGTTGTCCTCTTGTTACTGAGAGTAAAAACAAGAACAAAATCTATTCCATACCTGAGGATGTCTGTAGGAACAGACGAAAGCTTGTAAAAATAATAAGAACTTATGCAACTGAAATTTATAAAACAAGGATCTTTTCATTCATAAACAGGTTCGGGGTTTTTGTATATTATTTGAATTGTTCGCGAAGATGGATTTCTCGCCAATTAAATCATTAACCTTTGTATTTGTTTTTTGTATGAATAATTCTTGAATTTATAAATTAATTGCACCTTTATTGAAATATATATATATATATATATATATATATATATATATATATATATTATTATGAAATAGACAATTATTTTAAGATATTTTTTATGTTTGTACATTCTGTTTATAGATACAAATATTTAAGTAAATGCTCTGTTTATAATAAACAGTATTAACGACATTTACCGGCTTGAATGTCCGAGAAATTTTCATAGAAAATATGCGTCCACCGACAGGAATTGAACCTGTATCCTACACGGAACCGACATATAGCCTGACGCGCTTTACCGATTTAGCCACAGAGGAGCGTTTCGGTCAGCAAGTTCGATTTTACTGTTTTAAACACAATGTTCTATGATTTTCTCTCGTACATTCATATCTGCTCAATGCGTATCCAAATGTAAACAAATGACGTCACGCATTATGAAATGGACAAAGCCCGACGATTATTTTAAGACATTTATCTATAAAAAGAATGTATAAACATAAAAAATGTCTTTATATATATATATATATATATATATATATATATATATATATATATATATATATATATATATATATATATATATATGTGTGTGTGTGTGTGTGTGTAAACTGATTTCGGAAGTTTCTAGAAGTCTGAATTTAGCATAGTTGATTGTTGAATCAAATTTAACCAAAGGTTGTAAACGGTGGCTGAAATATGTGAAATTATGTAGGGACAGAGTTGGGTGTTCAAGTCCAGTTGCAAGTTAAGAGTAGAATGCTATTTTTTCTTTTTTATAGGTAGTTTGCTAGCTAAACCCTCTGTATTTGTAGCATTGACGTAGCGGATCTTCCTCTCTCTCTTTTCTTTTTGAGTGCGATATTTAACTAAGCTTAGTAAACATAAATTAGGCCTTATGAAAAGCGATAAAACAAAGAAGGAAGCCCTGGTTTGTGTTGATAAAAGAAAGGATTTTTTTAGAAAGTCATAATCCATAGTCAGAAATACGATAAATAGCCGAGAGCCACTAAGTTTAAGGTAATGTGAGCTGTCATCGTCTCTGTTACTTTTTACATGTAGATACAAGAACCAGGAATAAGGTAATAATTATACATTAGGGCTAGGCTGTACAGAACGATTCCGTTATCATTATTTTCAATTCTATTTCTATTTCATCAATGTTTATTTGCCATTGTCAGTTTTTTAAAATTCAGTTTCTGGTTAGCATTGTTCGCTCTAATTTTTTTTTTTTTACTCATTCTCTATCTTGTCTGCCATTGTTTTTCTTCCGCAAAACAACATGGCCGCTTGGCATTTGCTTTTATTACTGTCTTGATCATTCCAGGAAAAACTGCGGATGCTCGTCTGCTCGAAGAATTCCTAAGGTTATTTTGTGGAGGGGTAAGCTTTTCACTTTAGGCTGTTGTATAGCTGGAAGTTTTCGTATCTTACTCCTCCTCATTCTGTGTACTTCTTTCAGTTGGCTGTCATTGATATTTTTTCACTTCCAACTTTTCTTCTTTATCCTACGCTTTTCTTTCTCATCCTTTTCATGAGATAGTCTTTTTGTTCTTTATACTTCCCAACATGTAAACTGTTTTCTTGTCATTAAATATTTTCTACTTCTCTTAGTTTTCTCAAACTTTTTCAAACAACTCCAATAAGCACCGTTTTCCCTTCATTCTTTCATGTTAAACCAATCTAAAATGATTCATTTATGCCAAGCATTTTCTTTAATAATGTTTTAAATGCGCAGGTAGTGTAACGGTTATTAGCTCGAAAGTGAATTCAGTCCGCTTAAACCTTTTTAGTTTGCTTCGCGAAAAAAAAAGGCATGAATCCACTTTTCCTCAGACGTGGGTTAAATATCAGATTAGAGTGGGCTCTCTTGCCTTTAGGTGAAAACAAACAAAAATAAACTATGAACTCAAAATCAGCCTGAAGAGAGAGGGGGGTATCTCGCCCTAGACACACCACTGCTGTCATGGTTGCACTGCATGTGGCTCCTTCATTACTTTATTTGGTTATGTAACTCGTGGTGTGACAAATAAAAAATTGATAATAATAGTTGACAATGCTTCATCTAATAAGAAATAAATCCTGATAATATTGCTCGTTTAAAATACTACTTGTTTAAAAACAAATATGGCACCGAGAGAGATTGAGGAAGAATGAAGGGCAGGTTTAAAGGTTAGATGAGATTTACTGCTAAGCCGTAGAATTATTGTAGCCCAGTTGGTAAGAGCAACGAATGTGGTTCACTGAACTTTCCCCAAGCAAAAATGAAACAAGTTCAGATCTCTGTTCTATATCTCAGACCTGATCTCTTAAATCCCTTTCGTAGATCGAGATTTTGAATAAGGTTGCAATGAAAAGGAACTAGAAATTAAAATGGAAGAATTCAAAAATGAAATTTTAAAATAATAGAAAAGTACTCCGTAGTTGCGATATACGAAATTGGAGACATCAAAATCAAACAAATACGAAAATTTACATATCTGGGCAGTGTTTTAACAGAGAGCGGAAAATGTGTCATCGACATCGGAATGTGCATTGAAATAGTGAAACATATTTTTTTTCAAAAGCTAAGCAAAATATTAAGAAACAGGAAAATTTTCGTGAGAAACAAAGAAAAGAGTACTGAACCTGTTATGTAATATCGTCTCTCCTATCTAGCAGTAAATACTGTCCTCACAGATGGAGAAGAGAATTGAAGCAACAGAAACAAAGAAAAGAGTACTGAACTGTTATGCAATATAAGTCCTTCTATATGGCAGTAAATACTGGACAATCTCCTCACAGATGAAGAGACTTGAGTCAACAGAAATGTAGTTCTATAGAACTGTGAGAATGCCATCGACTAAACATGTAAGTAAAGGGGAAGTTTTAAAGAAAATGTAAACAAAATGTAAAGAAAAAGGACGCTTATGCTGAGAATCAAAAGGATAAGCCTAACGTGATTAGTTGATGGTTTCCCTACAAGGAAGACGCAGCTTGGAGCCCTGCCGGAAGGCACTTTTTTTTTTATTAAGACTCTCGAATGCACATGCCGGTTAATATCGACTTACATGGTTTTTAAAAAAAGTGATATCTACTCAAATACGTGTATTCACATTTCAAGAAATAAGATATATGGATTGTATTTGGATAGCAGTTTTTCATTGATACAAATTTGAAAGTTCTTTCTGATAGATTTTTAAAAATTATTCATCTTTTCCATATTTCTGAAAATTTTCCTGGATCCCAGCACATATTTAAATATAAATTATGTATATGTATATTTTACAAATTAATTAACCATCGATGGGCAAAAAACAAACTGGTCCACGTCTAATGAGAATCTGAATATTATTTTCTTACATAAATAGTTTTTTTCTCTGGCCAGCCACGACTAAGGGTTTCATAAGCACTGCAGCCTGCTAAACATATATTCGAACGGTGGCAGGATGTTCCGTTTAAGGCAGTGCCCATACGCGTATATGTGGGCCAAGTACAACATTTGTCCAATCCCCGTGGACCTTGTCACGCTGGCGTCGGTATCCACCAACCCTCTCTGAACTTCCGGCCATATCACGTTGAAACAACGGTTCCAGTACAATCACCTAAGTAATATCGAGCCGGGTCAATACCTAGATGGGTTACCGCTTGTGAATACCAGGTACTGTAAGTTTGGATGTGCGAGTGGTGTAATGGATAATAGCTCGAAATTGTTAATCGGGGAGTCGAGTTCCAATCCAGTTGGCTTTGCGCAAATACTCCTGCGAAAGGTATGAATCCCCTGCTTCTTCCCAGGTTAATTGGTAAAACTTGTATCACTAAATCATTGTTATCTTCAAAAAGAAAAAATTCTTACAATCTAAAAATATTTTCTGAATTAAATAAACTGCAAAGGGTTAATAAGCCGTAAAAAAACGAATCAATTAATCAACCCTCTCTTTTCGATGCAGAGAGGGAGATGGATGTTCTTGTATTGAGTTCTACAAACGAAATTGGTCTGTCCATCCCACTTGTTTCAACATCTCAAAATGTAACAGTTAATAACAAACAAGTTTTGTTGCTAGAGGAGGGAGTTCGATCCTAAGTGATGCTTGGTATTGTGGTCCCAAGCTGAAAAAAATAACGTCGCTGTGATTTCAATCAAACATTGTAGAAATATGCATTTCTATTATAATACGTTTCGACGAATAAATCGTTTACTGTGGAAATTTTATGCGGTTTTATTTGATTTTTTTTTATCTATTTCCGTTTCAACTTTTGTTCTTATTTCTCTTTCTACCCGACGTGTTCGCACATTAACTTACCGAATCTTATTTATTTTCTTTCGGGCAAGCATCAGAACATTTCTCTTTCAATCATTTCATCGCTTTTATGCCGCTATTTCTTTTATTATTTGTTCTCTGTCCCATTTTATATTCATTATATTTGCTGGGTTTATTTTCCTTTTATTTTTGTACCCTTTATAACGGTTGTAAAAATATATGAAATCGAACAATTTCAGGTTAAGTATTGTCACATTATGTTTTTTAACGTTTAAACATTGTCAAGTTATAACTTTTCTTTTGGATAGACCACTTCCAAAATTTGTTTGGAGTTAATGATTATATTTTTATATAACATTTAAATTAATTATAAGCCAATTCAATGGGTTTATTTTTCCCTGACTTGGTCAGAAGAGTTTTTTTTAAACATACAGAGTGGGCCAAAAGTAGACTTAGTGCGTATGAACTTTACATTTTTAAGAAAACATCTTATTGCATAAATTCCGATCGGCATCAATTTCAATAAATACTTCTGAAATGTACTCTTTTAATTCGTCCACTGTGAGGGGATTTCTCTTATAAATCGTGTTCTTTACTAGCAAAAAAAAAAAAAAAAGAAATCAATTGGTGTTAGGTCAGGTGAAAGTGGTGGCTATTCGATGCTACCCTTTCTTCCGAACCAACTCTGTCGAAAGGTTTGGTGAAGATAGTCCCTTACTGCCAAAGCATAATGTCAAGGTCCTCCATCTTGTCGAAAGAACAGTTATGGCTTAGTGAACAAAACAAGATCTAGACTTAAAATTCAAATGCTAAGCACTGACTCATTGATTTTGTTAGAAATTAAAAAGACTCGAATTTACAAACATTGCTTAACACACACACGCAAAAGCGAATCCAAAAACAAAACTCTTGAGATTTCACACCTTGATGCGAAATACCGTGGAAAGGTTTGGTTAAGGTAGTCCCTTACTGCCAAAGCATAATGTCAAGGTCCTCCATCTTATTGAAAGAACAGTTATGGTTTGGATAAATTAGATCTAAAATATGAAACAAATAGTGAAACAAGTGTAAGTCTACTTTTGACCCGCCCTGTATATACATGATGCGACAGAAATACCTTCGACATAAGACATTACATCCGGTAATACATTAGTTCGATGAAGACTACTAATGTCTTACCATTATGTGAAAGGTGTTTCTGTTACATCCTATATAATGGACGCATGGTCAAATGATACTGGGATTCGAATCTCACTTTGGTGACTTTTTTCATAATATCGATCTAAGCATGCGGTACGGTTGGAAAGGACATGAAAAACACACCACGGGTTGTTCCAAGACTTGTTAGTAAAATTAAATTCGACGATATTGTTCGAAAGTCGTTGATAATTGTGGTAGCGCCATGTCATTATGGCCTTCTTCAACTACTGATCATGCCAGATTGTGTTCTCTCTTCCAGAAAAGGTAACTAAGATATGCTCAATATAGTTATATTGATTGATTTTTTTACGGCTTATCAACTTTTTGCAGGTTATTTAAAGCCAGAAAATATTTTTAGATTGCAAGAATTTTGAGGGGGTAATAATGATTTACTGATACAGGTCCTACTAATTGAGCCATAGTTGGGTAGTGGGGGTGGGGAGAGAAGAACTTGATCCATACCTTTCCCAAAGTTATTTGCGCGTAATCAAATATAACGAACTTGACTGGAATTGGAACTCGACTCTCCCAATTTCTCATTTCGAGTCTATTTCTCATTATACTACACGCTTATTCCCAAGCGGTCACCCATCTAGTTACTGACCAGGCTCAACTTCGGTGATCCTACAGAAACCTGTGTTCAACATGGCCGTAAACCAGGATAATTGTGGGAATATGGGCTATATCTGAGTAAGGTCCAATAATTTGGGTATATTTAACTTAATGTAAATAATGTTAACAGATTATAATTTCAATGTATTTCTTCAGCTTTCTGGTGTTGCTAAAATGTACTTTTGTAATACGCAGTGTTATTTTCTTTCCCATAAACTAATAAATACGTTATTTCATGCAATAATGTAACGATTTTAGTGGTATTAAGCATTACGAAAGCCATCCATCTATTTGTAAAATTTTTTGAGTTTTTATGTTATACACCCAAAAGCTCTATTTTGTCAGTAATGCATGCCATCATTTCTGATCGCTGACATTATCTCGTTTTTCGATGAACAACAGTCAGCTTGAATAAAATCTGCTAAAAGAAATATGAGATAGAAAATTATGAATACTGTTCTATGAACTATTCCTTGTTGATTAACTGCTTCATATACTAAGATTCATACAGTAAAGAAGGAATTGTTATAATATTCACAAAGCAAAGAAGATATACGAGTTCTTTGGTTTTTCTATTGTTATTAATAAGGCAATTTATGAAAGTCAGGGTAACACGACCACCCGTCAATATCAGCAACTAGGCAAGTTGCATTCATCATTACTTATATTGAAGTATATACAAGGGGATACTGAAAAGTTCTCAACCCAACCAAGAAGAGATTTCATTCGATTTTGAGAAATGGTCTGGGTCACAAATTTTTCAGCACCTCCTTGTAATTTTTTTTAAATTATTTCAACCCTAGCCATGTGATAATGCCACTAGACTATAAATGGTTACTGAGAGTGAAAGGTTCCAAGAAAACGTTACTGAAGAGAAATGACAGCAAAAGAAAAGGATTCAAAAAGACGGAATATGACAATTTGGAATATGAATTTGGAACTTGGCTCCCCGATTTCTAATTCTGGGCCGTTATCCATTACACCACCCGCATATCCCAGCTAGCAACACGTAGTATTTTCAAGTTGTCATCCATCTAGATACAGACCAGGCTTGATATTGTTTAATTTCGGTGATCGTACGAGAACCAATGTTTCAACGTGATACGGTCGTAAGCTTAGTGAAAATTGAAGTGTTTTGTAATTAGTTTGTAAGATTAGTTCATCATCATTTTAATATAGTCCTTTTCACTCAATATGTAGATATCGGATATGTACTAAAGTTACTTTAATATAATACAAAGCCAAATGTGTGTGTGGGGGGGGGTAGGTTAATCGTGTTGCGACAATCTGTAAAATAGGAAGGGCGTTTCTTCCTTGAAATGTAAAGTGTCAAAGGATCAAAACTTGATTGCTGGAAAATCTGCTTACAAATGAAGAAGAGTTTGAAACGACAGAGGTGTGACTCTACTAACAAATGCTGAAAATACTATGGTGAATTTCGGAGCGTGGGTTAGACGTGGCACAAGGTCGAAAGTATGGGGCACCCAGTGAGGATCGAACTGCGTATAAAGAAACGGACACAGTATAGAAAAACCGTCGCCTACGGCATGAATGGATAAATAATAATAAACGTTACTAGGAATAGAAAAATGTACATAGAGGGCTGATTCGGCCTTCAAAGAGAAGTTGTGGTGTTATCGTATCTGCAGGTAGTGTAATGGCTATCGGCTTGGAAAAGAAATTAGAGGACAATGTTCGAATTCTAACCAAGTTTGTTATATTCAATTTCCCACAAATAAACTTGAGAAAGCTATGACTGCATCTCTTCTACCCCCAAGCTATGGGTTAAACGGCAAAATAGAATGGTCACTCTCGCCATGGTTGTCAATCAATCAAGGAGAAAAACAACTCTGAATTCAGAATCGTTTTGCATCGCTGAAAAAGCACATACTATTAAAATATGGAAAATATTTTGGAGCACAATGGCAAAGTTTAAATGTGAAGTTTACGTGAGAAAAAATATTCGTAGCGAAGAGGTCAGTGATTGTGATTGACTAAGTTAAAAAATAGGACAGTGAATAACAACACTTACATTGTTTGATTTGTGCTGTTCATATTTACAAAAATACATAGAATAGTTCTTGTTTTTCTTTTTCCCCTTGTCACAATAACTATTCTCTCGTTTTTTTTCCCCATCCTTTTCAGTCTAATGAAGAAAACTCAACGGTTGTAGATTTCTTTTTGGATAACGACAAATTGACCGTGAAGCCGGGCAAAGTTCGACTCCAAGAGAAGAGAACGGATAAAACGATGAGTAATTTTTATGCCGACATGCCAGCTTCCTTGGAAATTTGCACAACTGTCGCCAGTCATGATGTCAAGCCTCCACCGCCCAAATTTGACGATAAACTCATTGGTTTTGGAAGTCTCATGTGAAGAAAAAAAATATATCACTTAGCTCTCGTTTGATTTGATCTCGTCAAGGAACATTATTATAGAATGGACCAAACTGAAAAAAAAATAGTTTTTTTTTTTTGTATCATTTGAACTATTTGAATATTTTCTATTCTTTGATACATTTTATCATTTCAGTTTTTATTTTTTTCAAATCTGAGTATGGTTGCATTTCTCCTTGCTGCCTTCTGAAAAATTGTCCTCAACTCTATATTTAGGGCGTATCATATCTTGAAGGTAAGAGAAGACAAAATCATAAAAGGTTTCTGTTCTTCTGTCTGGTATGATAGTTGAGGAAGAACAAGAATAACTAACTTTTCATTTAACTCTGTTGAGCGTCTAGCAATAAGCCTCTACTTTGTACTTACGTACAAATAAGATGGTTGCCATGTAAATACTAAAGAAATTATTTGTTAATAAGTAATCGCATTTAAAAATTTGCATTTTTATGTAGCTTATAATTGGATTGTATTCTATTAACTATATTTTTTATCTTGGTAGTGCAAAACAGTAATCAACATACAATGTGAAGATGTCAATTTTAGTCTCTTATTTTAAACAAAATTAGTTTTAACAAATATCAGATTTGTAAAAATAGGTATAATGTCAACTTGTTTGCCATTACTTCCTAAAATGGAATCTTAAATTTAATTGTGAAAATTCTCTTAAATTTTACTCCTTATTGTCGAGGAGAATCGCATAATATTTATATTTGCATAAACGCAGGACATTATTCCAAACGGATTTCCAATAAAAATTGTGTCGTCTATTATATTTTAATTATTATAGATTTCATAAGAAACAAAATTTACAAGGACTATATCTTTTTAGTGTGAACTTCATTTTTTTTTAATGAAATCAATACTTTTATTGGCTTACATACATTAATAAATAATGAGAATATTTACATAGCAACTGGATTTTTTTAAATAGTTAATTTGTAACTAAAATTTAAAAAAAAAAAAAAAACAATCTTATCGATGTATGAAGTTATTTCCAACCATTTAAGATTTACTGAACGCTTTTCTACTTGAATGTTTTTCTTTATTCTCTTGAAGGCAGCATAGAGTGCTTTCATACCAATGTAAATATTTACCGTTATTTCGTAAGTATTTTTTTTTCTGTTTCATTTTAGATCTTTTCTTTAGTTTCACGTTTGTTTTGTATAATTTTAAAAAAATATTTTTTTTATGTAGGCACACCAAATCTACAATGAATTTATTTTTTTTATAATAAATAGGCGCTTCTAGTAATTTGCATTTTGAAAATGAATTTCATATCAACAGCATTTTGGGAGAAGTTAAGTATTGATCACCTTTTGTCATTGTAATCGTTTGACCTTTTATGCTGTGGATGTAGGTATTATTGTTCTATTGTCGGTGTTTTGTATTTGATATTTTTTTAATGTAATAAGTTTTTTTTTTCTTTGTTACGCCGACATGAGAATTCTAGAGATCTTTGAGCAAATTAATCTTAAAGTATTTTATTTGATGGCATAAGCAGCCTTTGCGACTATTTACATTTGTTGATTAGTATGGAGTTAGGTACAAGTACTGGTGGTTAATAATATACTGGTAAACTAAACTAAATTAGTCTACCAATTAACTCTGCTTATAAAGACTGATATTTTTTTAAATTGGGATCTTATATACCATCAGTTACAGTAAGTCTTAGAAATTGAAATAATTATAAATAAAAAAATTATTACAGCGATAAAAACAGACATAATTTCTTAAAAGAATTTTTTTAAATTACGAAACTAAGTACAGAAAAGAAAAACAATATAGTGTAGGCTAAAAACCTATATCGGGCTCACTCGTCAGAATTCGGTTAAAATAAATGAATAAAATTTCTGTGTATACCTACTTAAAAAAAAAAGAGACTTTTCGAACTTTGGCGAGTGAGGTGTCGTAACTGGTTAGTTTATTTACCAATTTTTTCTCTCGCTCGTTTGTTTGTTTGTTTGTTTCTTCCTCTGTCCTCTACTACTAGTTTTCGTACCAACTACTGTGGTTGTGGTTTTTTCCTTTTGACTATTTTTATATCCGTTTTTATCGCTGTAAAACAAACTAACAAAAATACAGTAAGGAAGGAGCAATATTGCTTAAAATATTAATGAAAACAATCAGATTATAAATTTCATTTATCTGTACGTACACAGAATCATTCTTTTAAAGCAAACACGTATAAAAGCCTGCTTGGTAGTTGAAGTAATCTCGGACCAGTGTTCGAGTCCCAGTAGAAATCATGATTTCGAATGCATATTGCTAAAGCTATTCGAAAGAATGGAACAGTATTCTTAACCCATTTGGTCTTATGTCATACCAAGGTAAAGGTAGTAAATCTTTTTATCCGTTCATCTTTCAAAATGCTTCATGTCAAATTGATAATCTGTAGTTTCTAAATTTCTAATTCCCTACCCTCTGATTGAAACGTTGATATATGTATATAAAGCGATCTAGATCAAATAAAATTTTCTCTAACACTGTAAATCTGGTGTGCCAACATAGTTTTTATCAAGATCATCTGCATTAGTTCGAGATACACATGTAAATATATGTACGTATACCTATCTCTTAAATTGTACAATATATTAATAATTAGACTGGCCTCTTAAAAACAGGAGCAAAAAATCCTCCAACCTCTGTCCTATAACAGTGTTACATTTGTAAACATGTTTTATATTCTAAATGTAACGACTCTTATGAGACGAAGGTAGAACTATTTGTGAGATGTTTATCGAAGTACAAAGTAAATTCTGAGAATATTTACATCCAGGTTAGAAGAATGTCTGCGAATGTAGACAGAGCTTGCTCTGGTTGTAAATAGTCTATTAACATCATTTAGTTCCACTGATTTCGAATTCTTATGTTCCTTAGTGTCTACTTCGCCAAAGTGGAAGAAACAGACAACACTTAAAGGAAAGGAAACATTCATATCTTGTAGTTTAATGTTGTCACTTCTAATACTGATCATGCATTTTATTTTAATTCATCTTATTTTTCAACTGATTGCCTTCTCTATAATACGCAAGCGGTAATTAGTAGATGTTAGCGTTAACAAAATAGTCTCATCGAATATTCTTCACTCATGTGCCAAAAAAAAAAAAAAAATTAGATGAGTCAAACATCTATTCTAAGAGTCGTTCAGAAAAGTGAATTATTTATGTCGTTAACGCTATTATCGCTCAACGTTTTTGCCAATTCATTCAATAGGCTTCCTTAGTTGTTACAGCCCATAAGGAATGCGAAACATGGTTCATAGATATGAAAGAGAATTTGGGAAAAAAAAAAGCAGTAGTCACATACAGTCGTTTGGTATATTAACTCTGAGTGAGAGAAACAGACATTAGAGATTTTGCACGAGAAGACTGTAAAAACTAATCAATCGAACGATGTGGTAATAACAATAACAACGCAAAGAACAAGTTCACTTGTTTCAGCAAACTCTAAGACAATAATGGCTATTTTCAAAATTACAAACAAAATATCTGTTTGAAAAAGAACATTTTTGTTCACTTCAATGATTTTTAATCGTATTCATTTTTGGATAGAAAAGTAAATAATTAATGTCATTATCAGCCTCACTCCTAACTGAAATATTCGTAGAATTTTTCCTTTTTTTTTTTTTTCCTTTTTGCTACCTGCTGTTATGAAATTAAACGAATTAAGACAGAGACAGAAGGTGTGTTGTAAAACTGCTTCGCTCTATTCATTTTTGCATTTTTGACGAGAGGGCGACTTTAAAAACAACTGCCGTCTTCTGTTTTGTTCAACGCTTACATTTAGCCTCCGCCTTCTGTTTGTAATAATGTATTTAAAAGAAAAAATTTTAAAAAAAAATGTAAAATCATTTCCAAATTTGGGGGGAAAAAAAATTTAAAAAGATAAAAAAAAATGTTGAATTGTTTTAAGATATGTACATAAAGCACATGCTGATTTTTTTTTTTTTTTTTTTTTAATCATTCAATTTTACTTTTCGTTTTGATATCGAAAAAAAAATCAATAAATTTACATCTTTTTTTTCTTCTCTTTTTAAACTGTCATTTGAAATTGACGATGGTATCTAAATGAAGACCTTATAAATTTCATGTTACTAACGGAACACACTACCAAATACCTACCTTGCCTAATCAAGGATACCATTTAAACAAAATAAATTAAAAATTGAATTTGTTATATAATTATTTGATAAATTCAGTTTTTACTCGACTGTCTTTTAAACTAAGTCGATAAACACTTTTTTTTAATCACAATACAAATTGCTCCTGTTTTCTGCAGATTTTTTTTCTGATTTTTGTGCTTTTTCTAGAAATGTTTTTTTTCATTGCAGTTACTCAAATGATTTCATGAGGTTTCTTAATATTGTTTTGTCTCAACATTTTTTGCAAGCGATGAAGTTGAACAACCGACTTATGAAATTAAATTCATAATTTCAATTAAATCAGCTTCCATTCCTAACTCCCATTGCAATCAAAAGCTGCATATCAGCCTCTATTTTATTTTAAAGTTTTCTTGAAACGTAAAACTTGAAAAAAAAAAATATAGATTTTTATTTTTTCTTCCTTGAATGAAATTAAACTTAATGATGGCAAACAATACATTTTATACTTTACGCAAAAGTCATGTAATAAGGGTTTCCAAACAGCTTCCCTAGTCATAGTGCAATAACAACAAGCCACAGAAAATGATTTAAAACCCAACATTTTTACTCAAATTACATTTTGATTAGTTTTTAAATGTTGTCCGTTCTAACTGGACAGGTTATATTTTGCGTTGTTTTGGGTCGTCGTCTTGTGTAGTAATGATTGTCTGTTAAACTTTCACCATTACTACCGTGTAGTGAGTTCGATTCTCAGTAGGTACCCCATATTTTTGGCCTGGTGCCAAAACTAAGCTTAGCTTAGTAACTAACTATATTTTGTGTTCTTGTGTAATTTTGCATTATACATATCTGGTTACCTATCCACCAACACAGTGTAT